GAGAACATTTGCAAGCTTCAATGGCAAGCTATAGTTGTAGTATTTTTCTGCCACAGGAGAGCCAATAGTCGTCCTCAAATGTATTCATACCCTTCCATTAAAGAAAAGGCAAAATTTACAATAGTCACTCAAATAACTAGAAACTGAAAAAAATAATAATAAAAATTAAATAAATTATATATTTTTTGAAATAAGACATTGCTTTTGAATTGTGGTTGAAAAGAATCATTTAAAAAAAGAAAAGAAAAAATAATATCCCAGACAAATTAGAGCACTCTCCTGATGAGCAGTGGGCCATAATCACAATACCTGTCATCAGGTGCAGAAGTCTGACTGAGAGTTACAGAAAACACTGTGATTGTAGTGATTGGCTCAAAGGGTTGTTCAACAAAATATTAGTTTACGGCTCCATCATGCTAGTTTGCTTTTTTTTGTTTGTTTGTTTTTATATTTCTGTTGAACCACAATTCAAAAGCAATATCATGATTTTCATTAAATTTTTCTTTATAGTTACTTTTGTCAATTTCAACTTATTTCAGTGACAGCTGTTTTTTTTTTTTTCCTTCTTTAATGGGAGGCTATGAATACATTTGAGGATGACTGTCGCTGCCATAGATGGCCACAGAAGTGCCAGAAACTGCCAGCACCACCAGGAGGAAACTGGTTTCTCTTTGCCATGGGAACCTACATGCACTTGAGCTGGTGATGCAGAAAAAGCAGAATTACGCTTTTATGCTTGGTGCTTACGTGCTGCCAATCCGTTTTACACTGCTGGTATTGAAGCTAATAGAACAGAGGTTAGAAAATTTACTAGTCCATTGGTATTTTTTTACTAAGAATTTATTTCAGGTTAATTATTAGGCCAAAGTGATTTTTGTGTATCCTTCATTATAGGACATCACACTTAATTATCATATTTAAATGTATGAAGTTCACATTTCAAGAGCTCCAATGTGCAGCTGTCACATTGATAATAAGCAGCTGCAGTGAGAGCACATGAGTAGTAAAATAAATATATATAGTCACGCCGTTAATAATTATCTACCAGCATTCCTCTCTTGGTTTATTTGTGATAGTGGGTGATATTATCTCTCGTTGGGTTTTGAGTTTTACTTGAGCCAGCTTACACAAAGAAAACCTGGTTGTGCTCCTTTACAGTAGACCCCTTCGATGTGTCTAACATCCTGCTCCACATGAAGGGAGACGAGAGGATGGTAACTGATGAAAGAAGGATGCTAAAAATTGATTTGATAAAACATGATTAAAAAAACACACAAAACTAAATCATTTTAAAGAAAACAAATAGAAAAATCACATCTTTATAAAAAAAAACATTTTATTGCCAATAAAAACCACAGCCTGTGACAATCTGCTCTAATGAGCAAAGAGATGCATCAGTAACATGGAATAACAGTGTCCTAACAGCACACTTCAATGAGGTGTATTAGGAACAAATATTTTTAAGAACAAAATCTAACACCATCTCTCAAATAGTTCTACCAAATAAGCTCTGAAACATACTGCAGAGTGGTTATATTACAAATTGTTTTATGCAGACTGAGTTTACATATCTAATTCCTTTAAATACATTACGCACAGGTTTATGAACTATTGTTGTAGAAAAAGTTTGTAAGACAAGGATTCAACAGAAAACAACTACTCACTACTGTAGGGCTGTTAGTAATTGTTTTCACTGTCAAAAAAATGTGTTGATTGTTTTAGCAATTATTGGTTGACTGGCTCATAAGTGTGTTTTTCTACAGCCCCACATGATGTTTTTTCGTTTGTTCCACAACTTAAACATACTCAGATAATGTTTGGGTCATGGGGAATAAAGAAACGGAAAATATCCAGATTAAGGCAGCTGGAATCAAGAGATTTTTTTTTTTATATCAAAATAGTTGGTGATAAATTTAATAGTTGACAACTAATAGGTACACGAGACTGTCTGAAAAACTTCACATACAAACCTATTGGATCTTTAAATTTAGGATTAACAGGCGTCTCTTCACAGCAGTTTACTAAAACTATAACACTGCAAGAACAGTGTTGCTGCTTCATCAAAGTCCCACTTACGCTCACTCACCACAGCCTGTATCACTCTGACAGGGCAGTGTTAGCACTGTGGTTATTGCATCTCACCTGGATGCATTTCAAGCACCCCTAATGTGCTTTAGATGTGTCTGTCTGCTGCAGAGCATCATATTGTCCTCATAGCTTTTCAGCATTGCTCTACCCATCATCTTCAGGTCTCCATGGCGTCAGAAGAAGTGTCTTTGACTTTCAGCTTTTCTTTTGATTGGGAGTGGTCACTGGTATCCTCTAACAGTGACAGATCAAGCTCGGGTAAGGGGACCCTCCAGTACTGGAAGGAGTTGAAAGCACTGTCTTCAGTGTTTGTGTCTCCATCAGACTAAAAGAAAGGACAAACACAGAAGAGTAAGCTCAGCAGAAATGAAGAAAGCTTACATTTTGAAAGAGTCGAGATATAAACAAATCTGTGCATAAATGAGAGGCATATTTTTTCAATTAGGACCTGATGAGTTAAGTGAGGGTTGGACAGGTTTCTGGGATTACAGCAGGATGGGTAACCAGTGACCTCTAGTGGACATTCACTGCCATTACACCGAATAGCTATCTGAACCTGCATACTGAAACCCGCCAACTTTCCCCATGTTGTCAAAAACTTACCGCGTCGCTGGCTTTACTACTAACAGCCTCTGAGCCCTGGCTGTCCTCTCGAAGTCGTTTCTTGGTGTTTGTCACTGCGTTGGAGCTGCGACGGTCCGGGAAACTTCCAGAAGTCTGCATCGTCAAAACACTCGCTGCGACCTTCCTGGTGTCGCAGTTTGTGGTTTTCCGACAAACAAACGGTTCTTCTTGTTTCTCCTCGGAGTAATACTTTCTCTTTCTGCAGCGGCTGCCCAACAAGGCCAGCAGGGAGGGCGGATTCACAACCCCGACTGGAGCCACGCTTTCCAGCTGCAGGTCCACACAGCACAGCGAGCGGTAGCATCTTTTGGAGGGAGAGTCGTTCAGCCCAGTGTCCTCAGCGCGCCGCTTCGCCATTAATCTGTCGAAGTCCACGGAGACACAGCGGTGAACTGAAAACACGTGGAAACCACGCACGGACGCTGGCTGCTGTTCACAACTTGTACAACGTGGTTATCTTCAGGATCTTACCCAAAACACTAACACCGGTAGTGGAATTATTGCGAGGCAGTCAGGGGAGCCAATCAGAGGTGAGCAGCGCTGCGTTAGCCCCGCCCACAGCCTCCACACTTCCTGTGGCGGGGACATTTGATTGGGCTTTCATACACTGTGCACACCGCACTGTTGCATTCAGGGCCTTAGCTGGTAACTTTAGAAATATTCTCCTTTGAGAAAATATTTACCAGTCACAAAATACAATCATCTAAATGTCCACACTAAAAGGAATTAAATCCATTTTTGGTGGAAGGCATACTGAGTGCTTAATTTTTTCATTTTGTTTACAGAAAGAACTCAGTCGTATATATTCTTAGTCTAAAAGTACAACAGTCAAGGTTTTCCAGAAACACCAAGGACATGATCTCACGTTCCTCAATAGTGTCTACAGCCGTGATGGTAGTAATACAATAGTAATAGAAGAATATCTTCATTTGTGTAGTACTTATCAAAGCAAAGTTACGAAGTGCTTCTCATATCATTTTTAATGCTATGTCATTAAAAACATAGCATAAAACACAGTAAAAGCTAATAAATTAGATTTACTTTATTGATCCCTTCTGGGAAATTGCTGAACAATCCAGATTAAAATAAGAAATTGTAGAACTCAAAGCATGCAAAGAGGACACAAAATTACATAAAACATAATACCAGAAATAGTACCAAGCAAAGCCACAATAAAATCCAAAATGGAAATACCCTGAACGGAATAACAAGAATTAAATCTAATCAAGCAAGGCAGAGCAAATGAAGTAAGTTTTAAGCTTTAAAAGAATCCACTGACTCAGCCTGACAAATGTTCTTAGGCATTGTACTCATTGTACTGTATGCATTGTACTCCAGAGTTTGCCACACAGGAAGTCCCTAAACTTGAAGAAACATTTAATGAAGATCCTCAGGTATTATAACTTTTAGTGTAGGAATATGCTTAACCATGTTAAGATGATTTTCATCCAGGCATCTTGTTAGACATTCCTTTTAGTATCAAACATTTTGATGTCACTGCAGTAAAACATGTAGGTAATAAAAAGCAACGACTATTTAGTTATTTTTTCTATCACTGTCAACTGATACTACTTGGGCTTTTGCACATATACAATATATGCACCAATCAGCCACTGACAGGTCAAGAGAATAGCATTGATCTTCCTATTACATTTCAATGTTTGCTGGGTAATCTTGGGTCCTGGCATTCATTTGAATGTGACTTTTGACACATACCACCTACAACTCAGCATTGTTGCAGACAAAGCAGCTGCAACACACGACCCCAACAATCTGCCGCCAACATCTCCGTGCCAGATGACACTGAACACCCCCAGAGGTCCAGTGCCCACACCCTGATGGGGCAAAACTGTTTAGGCAGAACAAGGAAGACCTAAGTTGTACAGAAGAAACACAGCTCAATACTTCAAAAAAAGTTGCTAAATACACTGAAATATTTTAGGTGGACCTAAAGCTGGGTTTTTGATAAGATAAACCTTATTTGTCACATACACAATTATACACAGTACAATGCGTAGTGAAATGTGCTTGGTACCTGCATCCAGTTGCAATAAAAAAATAAAAATAAATATAAAAATAAATGAAGATAGAAATAAAATAAAATAAGATACCTAAAGTTTTCAAGAAATGCATAGATAAATAAAATAAAATCTAATCAAATAAAGCAAATGGAACATGTAACATGTGTGCAAAAACAAGGTGCAAAAATATTTAAAGTGAGTTTTGTGTGTTTGTGCTGGTGTCAAAATCTTTCAAAATGTGATACAGTAAAACTATGGAGACTTACATTTTTTAAAATGTTTGGCTTTATTCCAAAGTGTGATTAGAAACCAGTTAAGTACATGATCATTATTTCCAACTTTAAAACAACTTATTCCTGAAAAGCTGAAAGGTGACTGATGCAATAATAAGATGTAGTTAGTGGCACCATATTTGAAAAAATAAATAATTTCAAGAGCAAACATGCACATTGCATTCTCCAATCACACACGCGCGCACACATACACACACACACACACAAACTGTCAGGCAGTGGATAAGAATGGGTAAGACTGTAGGCTTCCATAATTAAAAGAAATATACTCTTTATGGCATGTAGCTGACACACAAACCACTAAAATAAAATAGTAGCCAGTGGTAACAGATTCATCGTAAACCCAGGGATCAAGAGGAGTTAAGTACTTAGACAGTTTGTTCTGATGTTATAGCTAACATAGTACTGCAATACTTCATATTACATTCTACATTTTGAGCCATATTCAGGTGATTCGCCTGTCCCACAAAAAAACAGGGCCTTCAGAGTTCGGCACATGTTTCCAAAAGACACATCATAAAAAAATATATTTGACAAAAAAAAAGAAAAGTATGTCCACTTAATTTCTTCTTTTTCTCCTTTTCAGTCTGTCAATCTGATCTCGTCTTAGTCAATGGTTGTGCTCCTCTGGGTTCACTGCTTTTGTCAAAGAATTTCTTGTCACGTGAGGCTGTCGGTACCATCTCGCCGCGGTGATTTAGCAGCCGGTGGGGAACCTTGTTCTCCATCGTCCTCTTGACAATTAAAATACAGCTCTGCAGGCTTTCGTGCCACAAAGAAGACACAATCGTATACATATCTCAGCATGGACCGGTCATTCTCTGTGTAGGTGGTCTGTACAGACTCCCTCTCCACCTGACGGGAAAACATAAGTACTAATTTACTACTGAAACTAGATTTTTGAAACAAACATAATGTTAATCCATTAAGATTATTTATAATTCTCTGTTTACCTCAATGTGGAAGCCCAATTTAACCATCGCTGCTCTAATGTCTTCATAGCTAAGTTCGACAGAGAATTCGTTGGCAATGTTCTCAAAGTGATACAGCAGTGGGCCTGAAAAACATGAAAGATTGAAACATTTAGGTAAGCTTAATGACCCAAAAGGGTTATTTTTGAACATTTCTATGATAGTTAGTCTTGTGATTTTATGAGTTTATGGATGCTTCCTATTGAATAAGAAACATAAGAAAAACATTAATGCACATCTTATTCATTGGACATTTTGTTGTCAAGTCAATTAAGTCAACTGGACTTACTTGAGAAAAATGTGACTTTGAAATAAATACTTTTTTGCAGTTTTTTTTAGGTCAGGGAAACATAGGAGAACAGTCATTTTGCTAACTGCATTAGGATCTCATGATTCCTATAAAAGTCAAGTTTTTTGTAGAGCTGCCATGATATTCATTCTTTTCCCACTGTTTTATGTAAGTCCTTGTTTGCCTGATTCAGGGCTCCTATGGGCAATAGAGCCACATTTGAATGAAACATTTTTCCAATATTTCTGTGCACTTGACCCCAAAAATCTGTAAAAAATGTTTGACCTGGTCATTCCCCCCGTAGTGTACACAGTACAGAATATAAATTATTAACAGCATGCAACTTAAAGAAGTAGTATGCATTGTGTTGTGTGAAAAAAAGTTACAATGTGATAACAAAGTGAGATGAAAAAAAGTGGGAACCCTAAGAAAAGAAATAGCTATCAGCAAAAAGAGTACATGTGTTATAAGTATACTAGGATGACACTGTTTTATAAAAAAAAGATTTTTTTTTTATCATTTGCTGTGACAAGGAGCATATCTTACTACATTTGTCTGATAATAGTGCATCTAAGGTTGTGTATTTGTCTTTTTTAACTCCAGCAGTTGTAACAACATGTTATTTAGTAATGGAAAGCATTTCTGAATGTCAAGAGTGTAAATATAAATAAACTTTTTTTTTTTTATTTTTTTTTTTTTTTTTTTTTTGCAGAAGCTGACTCACCCAGGTTGATCCACACTCCACCAGGCTTAAGAATCTTCCAGATGGTTTCCACGTACTCTATTACATTATGAGCTGTGTCAATAAAAAAGCAGGTAGCCACACAGTCCCAGGACTCTGACAGACACAGACAACAAAACAGAATTACTTTCAATAAGGGGAATAAACTAGGTAATAAACTATTCAGAATGAACTGTACCATCCACATTAAAATGTAAATATTTTTTACACAATAGAACAATGTTTTGGTCAACCAAACATTTCTCTTCTTGTTGTTTATGAAATTAGACAGTATCTCTATTCAGCAACGTTTCAAAGGTTACGGATCTATGCAGCTATTACCTACCTGGGTCACTGTAGACCTCCACAAAGTCTCCTGCTACCATGGAGAAGTCCGAAGTTAGTGGCAAACTTTGAGGGTTGACATCCGGGAATCTGATTGGTCGTGTTTGGTCGGAGGATTTCTTGTTGTTGCTAAACTGGTGGATCCAGGGGTACAGGGTCAGAGCGTTCACCTTTTCACACCTGAATGAAGCAGTCCATATTTATAAGCAAACATGGATGGAAGTGTTTTTAGGCAGAGTAAATAACTAAATTTGGATTTTGACCTTCTTGTGATTACAGACACATACATTTAGAGTTAAGACATAAAAATTGCTTTAAAATGTACGCAAAGAAAGGTAACAGTTCCTAGGTATTTGTTAAGGCAGCTGAAGTCACAAGACTGATAATCTCGGTGCATGTGTTACCTATTGAGCACAAAGTTTGAAGAGAAGAGCATGAAGAAGCTCCATTCGTTGCCCTGGCATGTATAACCCAGCCGAGCTACCTCCCAGGCTAGACGGCCGAGCCCAGCACCCGGAACCAGCACGCTCACCTTAGACACATCACTGACATAATAAAATTCACAAAATGCACATATCACATAGAAAACACAGAGTAAGTCACATCATTGTAGCTATTACAAGGTGCTTTGAAACTACAGGACAAATAAAAGATGTAGCTTTGTACTGTGTAACCATATCTATTTATTTTTTTGTTAATTTTATTCTATGTATTGAAATATGCAGCATCAATGAGTTTTTCTGTGTTGGCATGCATTTGTCTGTGTAAGCGAGGATGTATATTTCCTACTATTGGTCACATGGAAAAAGTCTTTGGATCTCCAGGATGATTGGCTTGTAGCAGGACTCTCTTTCGCCCCGGCCCGCTTCACTCCAGTCTCTGACGAACTGCTTTATAGTGGACTTAAGTTTGTCCATGTCAAATGTAGAGGATTGACACGCTTTTCTTGGATCCTCCTGATACAGAATGACAGTGACATATCTACATTAATTCTCCAAGTAAGTCCCAGAAAATAAATATCAATACAGCCTTCTTGGCTCTGTACTTATACTGTGTAAGCACAGGGGACTATATTCAGTTTAAGACTTACCCTCTCACCATATTCCATGTTCTCAAACATGTGGAGACTGTTGTGAATGATGGCCTGCAGCACCTCCTGGTTGTGGTCTGCACACTGGCTGATGCAAGTCAGGTTGGACAAAACACCAGGCAACAAATTCTGATGCCGCTGTGAAAGGCTCCGATACTGACGCTCAGCACGCCTGACCTGCTCCTGGACATGGACCCTGGCAGGAAGATACCACAGGTGAGACACAGGCTGGTGTTTATTGATGTAGTTTGCATATGACTCTCTGGTCCCAATGGTTCCTATATTTATTTTTATTATCTTAAAGTCAGATTGCTAGATAAGTCACATTATCCCTCTCCTGAGTCTATTTTACCTTGTGAACAGTAACAGAGGGACACAGGGTGGAGCAGAAGTGTAGAAACAAAAACTGAAAATGAGCAAACATATTCCACAGGAAGCTGATTAAACATAAGCTAACTTCACTGTGGGGAGCACAAACCAATGTCAAAATAATGATTAACTATATCAGTTTGCAGTTTTTCCTCCAAGCCAAGTGATGTGGTCTTTGCTATTGTTTGCTAACAACGTCGCTTATAGATATTGTCTGTCGTTGTCTGTTTATTTTTAAATACTTTTATTGTACCTGTAAAACCGAAAAGCATTAATTATTCTCCAGAAATGCTGCCTCTCCAGTTTAGCCTCCTCTTCCGGGCTGCATTTCTGTCTTTCTTTCCGAAAATATGGTCCACCTTGCGGTCCTTCTCCTGATGGTTCGGCCATGTCTGAAACAAACTACAGTCGTCCAATCAAAACGCGGCAAACTTCTTCTTCGTGACATTTACTGTTTTCAGTGGATGAGTCACCACGAGGCGTATTGCTGCCATCCACAGGCGAAGGGTGGGACTGCAGTTATAATAACAATACAATTTAAATGTTAAACAAATTATTGTTATTATTTTTATTGTTGTTGTTGTTGTTGTTGTTGTTGTTGTTGTCAATCTGAAAGCAGATAGCTGTATTTTATACCTTGCCTACTACAGATGAATATTAGGACTATTTATATAACACTGACATCATACAAAAATAGAACACAAATTAAATATTCACACAAGTGCAAATTCCATTAAATAATTTAATAACACATGTGCTTAACATAATGACAAAAATAAGCATTGATTCTATGTCTATTCTCCAATTTTATTGCAAGGGTTTGCTTTTAAGCATGCGATTGGACTTACCTCCATCTTTCACACCAACACCCTGTTGACAAAAAAAATAAATAAAAATTAATTAGCTGAGCATAGAATTATGTCAAATTTTGTTTTAAAAAAGTACATTTAACTTCACAAAACTATACTAATTAAGGTTTTCTTTTCTACATAGTCAGGACGGCCGGACCTCCTTTGTTTTCTCAGTCACCACCTGCAAACTGTAACTATATTAGAATGTTCCAAAATGTCTGCCTGGCTAAACAGAGAAACAAACATCCCTGAATTAATACCACTGCAAGACTAAGGGAGTGAATCCCCTGGTTTCCATCACAGACACACAGACACCCATGAGCTTTAACTATACTATACCCACTAGAAAAGCTTTGCAAACCTAGTTATTCACATACACGGGTATTGTGTCTAAGTTGGTTCTCACTCCTGAAATATGCAGATTTTGGAAATTGTTTAAAAAAAAACCTCTCTGACATTCCTTTTCTAAGGGCTGAATGTAGTGTATACCCTGTAATAATATACAACACAGGATTTGTAGATAATGAGACAACACTGTTGAGTCTGTTAAGTCTTTCCAAACAAAGTACGACCACTTCCTAGGTAACGTAATTCAGTACATTAGTGCAGGCCCTCCCCTTCTTTTCATTGGTTCAAAAAATGTGTACATCATTACTACAGTATGCCCTTGTTGTTGTCCCAAGTCATATCGTGTTTGTACAGTAGACAGACCAGTGTAAAGCTGTTACACTGTGTGACTGGACTGTAATATAGCTACATGAGGTAAACAGGATTTTTATCATGACTGACATACCAACAAATCTGTACTTTACAGTATGATTAGAGCTGCTTTATTTAATAACTGACTAACCACAATGTTTATTTCAAACAAAGCAAAGCTCCATTTAATGGCAGTTTGATGTAAGTTATACATAGTCAATATATTGCATTTTTTTCTCCAAAGAATAATATACATAAGATCATATAGACATCAATCCTTGATCCTGGTTGTCTGCAGCTTATAGCTATAGCTGGGTGATGCTTAACAGTGTTTAAGTTCAACTAATGCTTGTTGAGTTTAGCCAGTTTGGTAATAATATACTGCAAAACATAAAAGGAAAAGGGAAAAAGGGGTTGTGTCATCTATTGAAAGCAATATATCGCTGTTTTTTCTCTCTGATGTATGTTTATAAACTGTGCTTAAGATTTAACAAAATGATCTGCATTCTGTCAAACACTGAAGAAGAGGACAAATGTTAGGAGGAATTTAAAAATGTTTTCTTGTCCCCAATTTATTAGATTTGTTATTTATGTTTATTTGTTTTTTGTTATAGAAGATGACTGAAGTTAATAAATGCTAATAGCAATGCCGGCTGATAGTGTGTAGCTGGAATCGGTGCATACTTTCAAAGTAAGAGACCACACAACAAAGCTTTTTCTGAGTATTTAATGTCTTCCACAAAAGCTGTGCTTGAACACCAAGCGTTTCCTCGATCAGAGGTTTGGGTTGATAATCTTTCCCATGAAAAGGATCTCGTTTGTGGTGTCCTCAGTGATGGCAACCATGAACGGACGGTTGAACTTCAAGACTGGGATGTGCCGGAAGGACATAAGCATGATACCGATGCCTGTAGCGGCTGCAGCGGTGGCTCCAGCCTCATCGACATCCAGGGTGGCTTGGTGCACAACCTACAGCACAACAGAGGCAAAATGAGATGAAATGTGGAGGATAGGAAAAGAAGTGTGCATTCAGTAGTTTATGTTCTCTGTCCTTACTTCTGAGACAGCCAGTTTTTTCCCCGCTGAAATGCCACTCAGATCTGCACGATCACCAAACATGTCTGTCATTCCCATGTCAATCAACACGTCATTCAACGTGTAGGACGACTTGATGGAGAACTTTGGAACATATATGTCATATTTCCTACAAATTGGGAAATAAATGAACAATTTCAAAGATTTATGTAACAGGACAGAACTGAACATCTGTGCCAAATCATACAGTCTGAACACCAAGAATTTAAGGATGATTTAAATCTTCCCAACCTAGACTTCATCCACTTCAGCCATTTAGTGATATGGGCTGGACAAATAGAATTCTCCAGTGTTGCCATGTCATCTGGCAACATCAGCAGCATGGAGTAGGAGCCGTTGAAGGGAAGGTGGAGGACTGATGTGTTAATGGCCTGGTCATAATAGGATTTAAAATCATCTTCCATATTCATCATCTGGACTGGAACCTAGAAAGCACAATTTAAAAGCCTTAATTAGAAAAAAAAATACAATAGTCAGGATGCACAATGAGTTTTGTGACTTAAATTCATTCTGGGAAAAAAATGTGCAGTTTGAACCTTGGTGTTCTCGTTCACATTGAATGTGTCCTCCTTGGTCAGATCAGCATCGAATGGAATTTCCCACTTTCCTGTTTGATGGTGATGAGCAGAATTTTATATATATATATATAAAACACCTTACAGATGACATATCAAACTTAAAGGTGTGAACTTGAAATGAGAGAGAGGCCAACCAGATGTGATCTCATGTTAACTTTTACCTTTGAAGTAGATGTAGCTGATGAGATACATGACTGTGCTTGGGTCCAGGTTTTCCACCAGCTTTTCGATCTTCCCATTGGTCTTATCTGATACATACGTATTGATGGTATTGGCACTGTCTTTGGTTTTGGTGAAGTCAACATTAAACCCTTCTGCAAAATAGGACTGCTTCAACACCTCCAGGAAATCAGGCTCTGGCTTGAAGCGGTTATCCACGAACACGGCGGTCCCTGCATTGGTGTCTTCATTAGATGCTGACTTTTCCAGGAGCGTGTGGAAGGCTTGGTCTACATTTGCTTGCATCAGCTGGGAATTGTTGAAACCCAGACCACCGAAGAGCTGTCTGTGAGTCTCTCCTCGTGCTCCCACAGACAAGGCAGCCAAGGCCACAGAAACACTAGCTGGTGAAAAGAACACGTTTTTGCCTTGGGAGTCGGCATGGGCTGCTAACTTTTTGTACAGGCGGAGGGCAAAATCTTGGTTTGCCGAAGTCAGCAGTGAGACACTGTTGTCGTTGCTGTTCACGGCAGTGTCTTGTTCTCCGATGGCATGACCTTCATGGTGGTCGGATCTCCCCAGGCAGACCACCGCTGATAAGATCCAGATACACAGAGCTGCACGCATCATGGTGAACTGAGAGAAAAGTTCAAAAGTGCAGCATTGTTCATTTGGGTTACACAATGTTTGCTATTGCAAATACTCATGTAGAGACTTTCCTGGAAGGTTACAAAAAAATGTTGTTTTAAAGGCCCAGAAACTTATGTACTTACTATGAGCTCCCTGTTTTTACATGAGCACATGCAACTCTGCAATAGTTTTGGTTATTTTCCATACAAATTTCTGTTTGTCTCTTCTCACAGGTTTAAAGTGGGCAGATCTGATTTAGATGGACAGATGTCATGTAGTTTCAAGCACCAATCAGGTTTAACTGACATTAAAAAGAGAATTTGTTCACAGCATTTAGGTGTTTTGGTTACTGTCGGTCAAATTTGATCAAATCTCTCACACAGAATCATCATGAGGCAGATTTCCTGAACGTTTATACACTTTAAAGAAGCCAAAAAGCTCATTTTAATTCTGATGCTAGTGTCTGAATGATAAATCACAGTTTGAAGGGAATTTAATTTAAAATTCCTCACATTATAATGTATTGTACCTCCAAGAAAAAGGTAAGATTTACAAATCAAGTCAGAATTTACATTTACATTCCACAGTCTGTTGGCAGAGTAAGTAAAACATGTAGATAAAAAAAAATGCATGTTTCTAAACTAATTAATGCATCTTTTTATCCACTTACCTTCTTCTAACTGGAGCTTACAGTGTGTCTTATGGACCACGGACAGAAAAGCCCAGGCTGGACTGAGGGAGACCTCTTGTTAATATAGATGGTTAAAACAACTGAACTTTGACTTTGTTTATTCTCTGTCTCCACCTCTTGTTTGCTCTGCCTCTGTGTTTGCTCTGTTTAATCATTGCTTTCTAATCGTGACATCAAACTGAGTAAGCAGACTTGTGTAGATTTAACTCACTGCCAGTTATTTATGAAAAACTGCACCAGATTCATCTTTTCAGTGTAAAAGTTTAATCCATGTAACAAGCACAAATTGACAGGGTATAAATATCTTGTCCATAAAGTTCTTGACAGTGATAACATGATCCAGGAAAGGAACGGATGCTCTAAGTGCCTTTTCAGAAACAATATCTGTAGTGCTAAAATTGTGTTGTGTTGTTGTTGTTTTTTTTAAAGCCACATGCAATTACATCTCCTCTCTTTACCGTTAATGAGTATGCAGTACTTGAGTCTACTTGAAAAACGCTTTTTTTTAAAAAAAATTGTGTCTTTTCCTGTGTTCTGGACCCATGAAAGCTAAATCCATCAAAGAGGGTTCAGTGATGTTTGCCAAAGAGCTGTCCATCCAGTTTGATGAGCTGTCGCAGGAAACCTCGATTAGGGATCACGCCCCGGTTGTCTTTCACAGCACAAATAGCCTCCACAAGAGTCAGGTTCTGCTTCAGCATCAGGTAAGCCAGGACCAAGGTTGCAGAACGGCTCACGCCCACATGACAATGCACCAGCACTTTGCCTGAGAATCGGAGAGGCGTTAGATTGCACCATTATTTTCCCACACACATAATCTAATTGTCTTCAAACTGTCTGTATCCTCTCTGTGGCCCCCCCTTACCTCCTCTGCTGAGAGCACTTTGGATAAAGTCTGCTGCTGCCTGGAAGTTGACACTCATGTCGAAGCCACACGAGTCGTGAGCCTCTATGCCCATGTAGGTTATCCTCATCCCCTCATAGATTTCTGGCCGTCCTCTACGTTTACTGTGGGCTGCGTTTAGGATGTGAGTGATTCGATGCATGGAGAGATCAGCCCTGTTCTCTGCACTGTCTCTGAAAAACACAGCAGTTTGTATTTACTGACAGCAGCTGACAATAGGCAGAAAAGACAGTTAAATGCTTCAGGTATTTTCAAATGCACAATATGTATGAAGCATATTTCATAGTGATGGACTGATGCGGAGAACGCTTCTGGCATGCGAGTTAGAACGCACTAGACACCTGAGACGTGCTTTCATGCCCGGGCATCAGTGGAAACTCTCACATAGCTCGGCTGTAGTTTACGCAAGTTCCTAATGTGGAATGCAACCCGAGAAATCGTTCTGCATCTGAATCTGATTTATGAGGAGTTCCTCTTTCACATAAGCGGACTGAATCCAAGTATAGTCTTTTAATATTAGTCAACAAGGCTTAGTTCACTCTCTCCGTCTCAACATACAAATAATATGAGGAAAGTTATAAGAAGCATTTTTATGGGTTTTCACTCAAAGAAAGAAGTGAGCTACTTACTGGTCGCCAATATAAAGCCTCGGCCAGACTTCATTCGCATGGCTGATGATGGCCTTGCCAGTAAACAAGAGCCTTTCCAGCTCAAACACTGCCAATCCAGGGGAACTCAGGTCAATCTCCACTTTCCGAGGAGGTCGCTCATCATTCCAGGATGCAGGGAGTTTAGATGTATATGACATTACCTTTTCTGTTCGGAGTTACGGTAGACTTCAGATTTGTGTTCAAACTATATTAAAGTATACAAAAAGTTAAAATCTGAAAAAAGTTACTGCAGTTTAAAGTCAATACTTCTTTAAAAAAAAAAAAAAAAAGTGAATCCTGAATACAGCTTTACTCGAGGAAAGAAAAGTACTCATAAGCAAGTCCTCTGCAGCCTCCGTGTCAAACGGAGCAGAATGAAGAACACAGGTGATTCCAGACTCAGACTTCTTCACCTCAGATTTACTCACCACAGGGTGCCCCAAGTGTTGTCAGGCCACTTGACTCTTGAATTAAATTGAGCCTGTGTGCCCTAACCCTTCAGCGGCATGCGTTATGCTTTTGCATCAAAATAGCACTCTATTTAAAGGTCCAAATGTTGGCTGGCAGATGTAGTGAGTGTGGCCCGAGCACCAGTTTCCACTCAACATTATATACATATATACATATATATAAATAAATCTATGTTTACAGAATTTGGCTAAAAAGATGTTTCTTAATAAGCTTATAAATATGAACTACAAATGGAAATCTTACCCTTTTAACTAATATGAAATGACTACTGTATTTGCATGCAATGTAGCAAAACATGAAATCACAGGTTAAAAAAAAATATACTGACATTTAATTACTCCTTAGTTTTTTGTCACTTGTGATCATTTCAGTATTTATCAGGCATAGATTCCCATCTTGTGATGGAAACATGCATTACTTCTGAAACTATACAGTTGTACTTCATCCAAACTTGAAATAAACACAGATGACAGATTTGTTTTTTCCATGCAAACCTTGTGATCTTATTTTTATTTATTTTTTATCATATAAAATCATCCTTTGAAATATGGCACTCTGTTTTTTTGTTTTGTTTTGTTTTTTACTAAATCAACACTTCAAGAATGTTTGGAAAAAAAGACTTGCTATACACAAGACAATGGATTGTGGTGCACATCTGGCTTTGATATAACAAGGATTTTTGTCCTAGAGAAAACAGAAACAAACTAAACATTTAATTGGATTGCTGCGACCAACATTGTCCTTAAGCATAAAACATTACTGAAAACGTTAAAGTACATCTTTTCTTTTATATAGAAGTGTTTAAAGAGGGAGGAAAAGAACATAATTTAACAGCTTTTCAAGTAATTCTTAATCTTGTCCTTACCTATCTGTAGTAACAGTAGTTCCTAGAGTGAAATACACAGCATTCATATGTAGGTCTGAGTCTAGGTCTGCACTTAGGAAGCAATTTCATCCAAAAGATGGAATAATGGGGACAGCAATCTTCAGGGGTTTTTTCACTAATCTGCTACACTCTCGGCCCAATTATGAGCTCTGAGATGTCATGATTGTACTGAGTGCTTATCTGACGTTACAGTGCATGCAGGGCTGGGAGCACAAGTGAAAAGAAAAGCGCTGCACCTACTGCTGCAGAGGCGCAGTGAGGTTAAGTGACTATGGGCAACTAAGTGTACTGACTTCATTAGGGGAGAGGACAATATCATGTTCATGCACATGGACTGTGAATGTAATAATAGACAGCTAAGGAAGTGCACGTGTTGTTACATGTAGGATCAGACTAAAACCGACCCACAATCCTGAGGGACAGCGTGATGATAATCTGGATTTGAATCACAAGTTAGAGACCACTAACAGTTGCAATGTGGCACTAAGTAAATTTATCTCCGAATGACTCTGCCCTGCATTATGCTGGCAAAGACATAAAAAAATAAGCTGAGCAAGAGTCGTGTTCCCAGCAGTCACTCAGGCTGACAGTCACGTACAGTATGTACGACCATCAGCCTTCATATCTACTATCACTATATCATTTATATCAGCATAATTAGACTTTGAAGGTTGATTCATGTATCAGGAACTGCTCCATCTTGTTCTTGGGTCCATGCCGCTTAACTTCAGGCATTTATATTATCATGATGGTGGGAAAAAAACCTAAAGGTATCACATCTCCGAAGAACAAGACTAGACCCTCAACGTGTCCATGGAAGATCAGGTAGAAGAAAACAAGACGCAGTGATCCACAAGCAAATAAATCCAGTTCAGAAGGCTTTCTTCTCCAGCTGGTCCAGAATGGCCTGGATTCTCTGTACAGCCTCCTTTCGGGCTTGCCGGACATTCTCCTGTCCCTGAGTCTCCACAGAGTCCAGCTCCAGCAGCTCTTTGGTCAGCAGTTCCTCCAGACACCGGTAACTCTTGTCTGTTTTTTTGCCGACAAATTCATCGACGTCTTCCTGAAGCAGCAGAACTCGAGCCATGACCTGTTGGACCTTAGCTAGGCCGGGGTTATCGCTGAAGGGCTGAGGTCCAGCCTGATCTGCAGCTGGTGCTGGTGCTGGAGCTGGAACTTGGGCTGGAGCTGAGGGCGGAGGCTCAGCTTGCGAGGGATTAGGATCACTTCTCCCAGTTTTGTTGTACATTTGGGGAGGTGAACTTATTTCAGCAGGCTTTCCATTGGTGGGATTCGGGGGTGCTGTCGGCCTGGGTTTAGGTCCCACCGGTGGGGCACGCTGGTGCTGTTGGTCCTGCATTAAACACAAAACAACAAATTGTAAAAGACATTGTAAGATATTTGAAAAAACAGGAGTGATCAAAAAAATTACGTACAAACAACCTGAAATGCAGCACAACAGCATGAAGTTGCTTCAATGCGCTGTGCGCCAGGTCACAGCAATGCGATTACGCATGTTTTTTTTTTGGCCACGTCAACACAATCATTGCTCACCATTCGCCCTACTTGCTAGATTTGGGTCCCTGAGACTTCCTCCTCTTCCACAAAAGGAAATTAAAGTTGACACAGTTTAGGGGATACAGTGCCCGTCGCAGATGGTGCCTGACATATTTACATAACGGGACCACCTAAGAGTGTTACATTGTAGCAGCACTGGGAGGGCTGCATTGCTACACATGAAGACTACTTTGACAAGGACAGTGGCAAAATTTAAAATCAGGTACACTTTTTGATTTCTGTAGGCGCAGTCTCAGAACTTTTACATCACACCTCATGATAAAGCTTATCATGTAGCACACCATCTGGAAACGTACTCAAATAATCTGTGCATGCATGGTGAAACTTGGTATTTGAGTTTTAAGAATTTTTATATATAGAATTGTTGGTTTTTTTTGGGGGGGGGGGGCTTTTTGCCTTTATTTAGAGCAGTAGATTGAGACAGGAAAGGGGGGAGAAGAATGGGGTGAGACCTGCAGCAAAGGGTCATGAGTGGGAGTGGAACCCACGACCACTGCGTCGGGGAACTATAGGCCCCATTTATGGGTCACCCACTCAACTAGGTGAGCTATAGGAGTGCCCTTGAGTTCTAAGATCTTATACAAAAGCTCATTACGTCATTTCCTGTGTACTGTGTAACTATTATTACTGGCTGTATACTCACTGTATGGACATTCAAAATAGAACTCTCCAAAACTGATGCAGAAGTATTTATTCTGAACATTTAAAACCTTTTTCAGCAAGTTTAAATGTTGTGTGTCCAGATCAGACATGTCATTACAGTGACCAGACACATGTACACACATTTCTAAATGGTGAAAGTCACATGAAAGCAAGTGTAACTGTACCTTATCTAAATTATTATTTTCATTTTCTTTCAAAAGGTTTTAAAGTGCATCATCTCAATACTCTGTATGTTTATTTCCGTTTTCCGCATATCTCCCTTTACAAAATATATAGATTTTTTTGTTAAGTATAAAAAACCACATCAAAATAGCTGCGGATTCTTACCTTGGGCTGGTAAGGTGGCGGAGCACCAGTTCCAGTTCCTGGCCATGCTGGAGGATGCGGTGGACGGACAGGATTTCCATAGTGGTTTGGTGGAGGCTGCTGGCCAGGCTGCCATTGCTGCTGTGAGGGTGCATATTGAGCAGAGTGCGCCCATGCATCTCCCTGAGTGCTGGGATGGAGAGACTGGCCAGTCGGGTAAGGAGGATTTGGAGGCATTGCATGCCCTCCTTCGCTGTAGTGAGGGTACGGTCCGGGAGGATAACCAGGACCCTGAGAGGAGAAGCATCACAGAAATGCTGTATTTCCCAAAAAAATATTCAGTTTCTTCAGAGTATGAGTGTTGATTTGGCTTACAGTATGTAGAATTCATTTTTTGTCATTGCAGAGGATGCAACATAACTAAGCAGCAGAAAATAATCCTGCCAGTGCTTTTAGACATTTAAAAAGAAAAAAAATGACAAAAAGAATTGTGCAGATATAAAAAGAGAGTAAAAAAAATAGAATGTACAAATATAACCATTGGAAATTGTGATACAGCTTGTTGTTGTAAGCATAGCCTATTTGATGTCTAAAGAACATTATAAAAACAGTTGTGTTCATGATGAGTTTTTGGATATTGCATATAGCTGAGCATTTATGAAAATTGAATGTTGTGTCGTCTTGCAAAATGTACAGGTGTGAGCATGGCATGTGTTTAAATGAACTCACCCCTTGACAGTGTGCACCAGGATAGTGATGATGTTGGTGTTGAGAGTGTGGTTGCCCAGACGGCCCACTGCTCTGCTCTGCTGGACAGCCCTGGTTAGGATAAGAGCCTGGAGCAGGTCTCTGAGGGTCAGCACAGTAGAAAGGGTTGGACGGGTGGAAACCGCTTGTTGAATATTGACTCTGTGCTGGACTGTAGACTCCATGGCCATTTGGATAACCTCCCGGCATTACCTACATGAAAGCCATAAGAGGGGGGAATTAGTGTGTGTAAATGTATCACCATAGTGACGCAATAGATTCGACACACATGCTGACTGTTTGAAAATGTCAGGGAAAGGTGAAAGCACTTAAGAGACTTAAGATAATGAGTAGATTTACACCTACATCCTCGGATTTAGTGGGCCAGGTTATGTTACATCATGAGCTGTACCTGTGGATTGTACTGTGGCTGAACATCGGATCCCGAGGGATAGGTGTTTGCATAGTGCCCTGTGGAGTGAGACTGAGGATACCAGTAGTGTGAAGGGTAGCCTGGATACTGGGAAGCGTCCTGTGAACAGAGTATGCAAACATTTAATTTCTTTCCTTTGGGAGTGACAGCGAGAGTGTTGATGGTTGTAACCAGGTGTGTCTTCAGTACAAGCATAAACACAAAGAAAACAGCATGCTTTTCACATCACTGCCTATCCTAGAAAATTCAGGAACAAAGTAAACAGAGCCACTGACTCATTTACTGCTCGCGGAACCAGTTCAGCACAAACCATAAACACTGTCGAGCTAACCGAAGAGAGGCCAAGCTAAATATATGAGGATACACACTCTGCTGCTAAAACATGTATGTTTTCACACAACTGTGCCACTATTATCCGTGCTGTCACGTCAAGACAAACGTGACAAACTCGAGCAACAGCTGAACTAGCAGTGTAGCCGTAACTATTACATAATGCCAGCTAGCTCCGTTAGCCGTCCAGCTAGCATGGACACAGCTCAACGCGAGCTATCCGGGAAATAACCGTTGCTTCGCACAAATTCACGTCGTTTTTTTGTGGATAATTTAACACATAACAGACGCCGACTAAACCCCCGAGAGTTGCCTAAGCTGTATCCGCTCACTTACCATACTGTTATTCCAGTTCCCGTGGTTATTTCCCGAGTTACAAGTCGAGGGCCAGCCAGGTTTCAGATTTGGCTGCATTTGATGATGATGCATCAGCTAAGCGCGCTCCCCCGCTGCCGTCGCTTCATCTGTCATTGTAAAGAAACAAACCTTCAACCGGCCGAGAGTCGCTGAGCTGGGCCGTCAGGTGGGTCCGAGCCGTTAGCAGCGACGTTGCTGTTTTTCTACACAAGCAGAGATCGCTTGATTGAAATCAGGAAATGATTGAATGACGCGGAGCTTGTGCAGCCTCGTCCTGCCGCTTTAATGAGCAGCACAGGCTGAAGTCGAGAGGTCTCACTCTGCTACTGTTTTCTGGCACCGCCGACGTGATGACGGACAGGGTGGCGCCGCGATCTGCCCTTGTTTTGTTTTCACACCACCTGAGAAAATCTGAAAATTTGTCCGATCATGCAAAATGTCGGCTATCTGGATTTGTGCTGGTGATAAATATAGCTTGATTTAAATATTGTGTAGTTACACAATCCAACGTGTTTCTTTGTTCCGAATCCGAGACTGCCACTTGTGTATACACGATCTTTGGCGTCTCGTGTGCGTCAGTGGACTCTATCAGCCAATGAGGAAAACGCAATAAAATATCATATTTAAAAAAATAATAATAACTCTTAAATCGTCAAAAAACGTATCTAGTGTTTATTTACAGAAATATTGTTAAAGCTCCAGTCATAAGAATGTAAATAATAGAAACAGTGATGGAATTGATAGCGCACAAAGGGTTAAGCGTGTACAGGAAGTTTATCCTGAGCTTGTATAAAGCTTCCTGTGCTCCTGTTGAAAGAAACATATTTTGAAACATTCATGGCTTGACTGTACAAAACAGATATAAGAAGTAAACACACAGAAGCCCAAGATGAACTACGTACCAGGGACAGCCAGCCTCATTGACGACATCGACAGTAAGTCGGAGGGAGGACGGACTCCTTCACCCAGAGATCGTTTCAAGATGCGGCATCGTGTCTGCCACAAACTTGAGCATTAGTAACCCATTAAAAATGCTAATTTAACGTATTTGTGTTTGCTTTTAACCCCCAGAGAAGCACCTGGTGCTGCTACGAGATGGCAGAACGCTGATCGGTTACCTCAGAAGCATTGATCAGTTTGGTACAGATCACTTCATTGTCTCCACTTTGTTCTTTACGTGCTACTCAGGACGTTTTCAGCTGCAGGCTCAATTCACCTGTTCATAGCATGAGATTACCACAACCTGATGTATTTATATCTTCTTAAAGGTCTTTTCCTTAGAAAACCTATTAACTTTGCTTCTCTTTCCCCTCCAGCCAATTTAGTTTTTCACCAGACAGTTGAGCGCATCCACGTGGGGAAAAAGTTTGGTGACATCCCCAGAGGAATATTCATTGTGAGAGGAGAAAATGTGGTGCTGCTTGGAGAGATAGTAAGTGGGAGTGCCCTCTTTTTCTTTTTTTTTTAATGTGTTAAAATAATACACAAACTGAGGTGAAACAACATTGTTATGATGTCCATTTAAAATGTTCCCAGTCACACATTACATTAAATTTGCACAAGCCTCAGATTAGAGGTTCACCATGTTAAAACAACAAAAAAAGGATGCATAGAAATACTAAACAGATCGGGATGATTGTGCATTTTATGTCGAACTGCTTTTTACTCTTAATATTGCCATGTTGTTGTGAAACAGGTGGACACAGTATGGCTATTTAAGGTTCAATACTGAGTAAATGAGAACGCATCAGGCTTTCTGGTAAATCTCTTCCTTTTGTGGTGACAAATAAGCTTCTTTTTAGATCATCACTTGTCTTGTAAACAAGGTTACAGACTAAACCATGTTGGTACATGGAGGATGGGATGCTGATGTGCTCCCTCCTACATGACTGATCAAAAGTAGATGCAGGTTTGTTTAGAAGCACTGAGGAAAACCTGAATACACTTTAAAAATGTATCAATCCATCTTTGCTGCAGCTAGACAACACTGTAAGGCTGAACAATTAATGCACTTCAAATCCTAATTTGAAAAAAATACAATTGGCAAATTGCAAAGGCAGCACTGTTGCCTCGCAGCAAGGAGGTCGCCGGTTCGCGTCCCGGTAGGGGCACCGGAATCTTTCTGCGTGGAGTTTGCATGTTCTCCCCGTGCAGCGTGATTTCTCTCCGGGTTCTCCGGCTTCCTCCCACACAGTCCAAAAACATGTTGAGGTTAATTGGTAATTCTAAATTGTCCGTAGGTGTGAATGTGAGTGTGCTTGGTTGTCTGTCTCTAAGTGTAGCCCTGTGATGGACTGGTGACCTGTCCAGGGTGTCCCCTGCCTTCGCCCTGAGTCAGCTGGGATAGACTCCAGCCCCCCCACGACCCTAATGAGGATTAAGCGGTGTATAGATAATGGATGGATGGAAATTGCAAAGGCTGCAATTAAGGACATACAAGGTGTGGTTGTTAAATAATGACACCAATGAGACTTTGTTTAACTCGAGCAGATTGAAACTTCCAGCTCGCCCGTTGATCAGTGTGTACTACGTGGTTCAGCTGTGGTTCAACTGACATAAAGTCCAGTCTCATTATTTAATAGCCACACTGTGTCTGATTTAGAGTTTGAACTGTCGAGATGTTACAAATTAATGTCACCCTCCTTGTGCGACGCTTTTGATGGCACCTAATGCATTAATTCTCCATCACATGTTTTACATCCATTAGATGCTGAATATTGACCTGAAGCTTTGAACTTTGAAAAATTGAATTGCAACTTCTGTCAGAAAAATCACAATTAAATATTTTCCCTTCGTCTTTCAGTGCTACTGTGCAATGTTAGATACAAGATACACAACCAAGTTTCAAACAGAAAAACGTAACTCCTGCTAAGCTATTTAAACAGGCTTTTGTTCACAGCAATAAAGAAGCATTAAAGTAAATCATCCATAAGGTTGGATTTATTGTAATTGTGCTAATGTATGTGAGCTGCTGCGCTGACGCATTACAGGCTCATTACAGTGACACGGGGCTTTGTAGGCCAACACACGGAGCAAACATGACTCATGAACCAAGACTCATCTCCCTCTATAAATATACATTGTGCATTCACACAAATCAACACTTGTGACAGCAGCACTGCCTCTGCTATTAAAGAGGATCTACAAGTCTGCTGCAGTTCATGTTGTTGAGAGGTAGCATAGCACAAGGCCCATTTTCATCTTTAGCACAGATGTGTCTGTGCCAAGTTCACTGCTTTAGAAGATTTGAACAACTTTTGTGGTGTTCGAGGTTTGTGGGAGCCTGATAAGTTTGCTCATTTGCCATTTTAGTTTGACTAAATACTTGTTATTTATTTCTCTTTAATCGATGATAAAGATAGAGAGGCGATGATTCAGTCGGCCTGCTGGCTTGATTTGCTGTTGATGAGGGCTAGAGAGACATTAGATAATCACATCTGGCAGATGAAGAGAAATATTTACTTACTTTGTGTTTATAAGGGCCTTGTCCTCAACTCTAATTAAATGTTTTCATGGGAGTGGAAAGTGTTTAGTTTTGTGTTTAAACTGGCCAGAACATGTGAATTCCTGCTAAAGTAATTGTGTCATACATAATCACGCACAAAGTAGCTCAGTGGGTGTAACACAAGCATTCAAGTGTGAGTGTGTATTGATGTACATAATATTTGCAGCAGCCTTTAACACATGCACATGTTGTGTGTCTCTGCAGGATGTGGACAAGCCCTGCGACACGGTGCTGCAGCAGGTCTCCATCGAAGAGATCCTGGAGGAGCAGCGGTTGCAGCAGCAAACCAAACAGGAGACGGAGAAAGTCAAAATGCAGGTCCTGAAGGATCGAGGCCTTTCCATACCCAAAGCCGATAATTTGGACGAATACTAACACCGCCTTGTTTCCATGAGCCTCTTTCTCAGTTTGTATGGGACTGATCAGTTTTATGTTGAATTGGAGCGCGCATGAGCGCATCTTTTTTTCCTTAATGGGGCAGAGGACAGCATCATTCTGGGTCTCTCTACTGTAGCGTACTGTATCAATTTCATTTGAATTCTCTGGGGGGGAATGTGATCGGCTGGTTGTTCTCAGTTTTACATTTCATGGTGACAGTAGAAAAAAAATGTGTTTATCTGTGAGCACTATGTTGGCAATTTAGCAATCATTCTACAGCAGCACTTTGAATTCTGTAACATGATGAATCTTTTTGTTTTTGAGATTGTGAGTCGGCTATTGACAAAAAACACTTTTCTTTTCTTTTTTTTGCTCCATTAAAGAATTTAGTTTTTCATTATGAAAGGCCTGCTTGGAAAAGTAGTGTCATTTCATCACCTCTCGATGCTGCCCAGTCTCTGTTTGTCTGTTTTATTTCATGCATTAAAGGCACTAACAGCGAAAAATGTTGGATAATAAATCTGGGCCCACAGCAGCAGGCATCCTGCAGGTTCAGTGTGAAGGTGTTAACGGTCCTGACAAGCAGAACGCGCTGCAATGAGACATCAAACATGAGACAGATGCATCTGGGAGGAAAGGGTAGGAAAAACAACTGTCAAAATGCCACCGTTAGGAGTAATGTCTATATATATATATATAAGTAATATGTACAAAAGAAGTATGCTTCACCTTATTCAGGACTTTCATGTTGCCATATGTAGAAGGTCTTTCGGGCTCCATTGGACCACAAGAAAGAATATGTGCAAAACAATTGTTGGTATTCATTATAGACTTTTATACTACGTTAAATAAATTTTCTGATAAGTTGACGTAGTTTTGGTTCCAAATGCATGACAAATGTTCTTCTTTTTATATTTAAAAATAAGTCTTCAAAAAGCTGCAAGGTGGCGCAGTT